AGTCAAGATTCCTCTTTTCCTGTTCACCCCTCCCGTTTTTGACTCAACTTAAAAGTTACCACATAAAACTTCTCGTAAAATTTATTATCAATTCAATTACGTAATCTTAAAAGACACAAACCTAGTTTTAGTAGATCCGAACATAGTCACTTTCCATCAACTAAAAATTAAGAGTAGGGATTACAAATTTACTAGTAATAGATATCGTCCATTTTAACCCGTTACTTATCACCGTCAGTACACCCTCCACTAGGGGATATTATCCTTTCGAGTTTTCCTTCAAGTTTTTAAAACGCGTCTACTAGAAATAGATTTTTCACACCTTTACAACAAATGTTTCGTTTTTGAGCAAATTTAAAATGTAAGATCATCAGGAGAGATTATTTGGCATGTTATTAAAAAATTTCCGGGTGAGTGTTTGGCCAAATTTATAGGATAAGATCCTCTCTCTAAGGAAAATTTTAAAATATTAAGTAACTAATAAAATTGTTGTAATTTATGATCTTATACGTAAATACTCATATTTTTGCTTATTTGCCCGTTGGATTATCATTTTTGTTTATTAAAATTTTAAAATCTAAATCTATTTAATTGGAAATACTAAAAAATAGCAATTGATTAATAAATATAGTTTAATTTTATTTACAATAATAATAATAATACATAATACATAATAATAATAATAATAATAATAATAATAATAATAATAATAATAATAATAATAATAATAATAAAAAGCCTCATCTTAATCTTATAATTTAGGCGAGCCTAACATTGATAATTGAACAAGAGATTTTACGTAGAGAAAGAGGTTTATTTTCATACGAAACCTAAAAATGGAAGGAAAAAAAATAAAATTCAACTCGCACTCGTAAATCATTTAGCTTCACGGCTTGATTTTAACGGGGTAAAAATATTCAATCGAAACTCCATTCAACTCAATGTAATAAACATCTCTTGCAATCGGGTCAGCTTCAAATTTTAATTTTACCTTCTCAAGTTATTCAACTACTAAAAAAAAATATACTTAATACATTTTTATACAAAAAAAAAAAAAAAAAAACATCAATTTTATTTTATTTTATTTTATTGGTTAAAAAATTAGAATTACCTGTAAAGAAGACGGTAATTGTACGCGGTGAAAAATTGTTAAATTCTCCTTTTTGGCTGTAAAATTCACTTAGCATACGGGACACGACATTCCATATTTCCAATTATAAAAATAACGTGGAACTTAGAACATAATCCAAAAAAAAAAAAAAAAAACTGTCACATTCACACGCTCTCACACGCTCCCACCTCCCCCTAGTCAAAACTTGCCCAAATACCCATTGATTTTCTTTCAACACCCCCATATTACCAAATTACCATATTACCCTCCTCCCGTGCATCAAATTATTCGATAAAATCATTAATCTACATAACCCGTAAATACGAGATTCAAGATATGTCTACTCTTACGAAATAGTTTTTACAATTAAATTTGTAAAACGATGATAACATTGCTGTAGCAGTCTCATTAAATAATTTATGCACGGTACCAGAAAGGTTTAGAAACAACCTCTCACCAGTGGGTCAAATGTGTACACAAGAAAGTTTACTTTTCAAATACAAATTTAATTCACATTACTTAAATCTCTTAATAAAAAAAATAAGCACATGGCCCATTAAAATTCTCTATATATATTCAATGAATTCTCATTCCCCTCTTTGAAATCGTATTGAATCCAAAAGAGATCAAAATTTCCCAATTTCTTTGCAATATTGTGTAATAATAATGGGAGCTGGTTCCTCGCCATGCGCCTCCTGCAAATTGCTACGGCGGCGGTGCGCCAAGGACTGCATTTTCGCCCCTTATTTCCCTCCCGATGACCCTTACAAGTTCGCCATTGTTCATAAGATCTTCGGCGCCAGCAACGTCAGCAAAATGTTGCAGGAGCTGCCGCTGGATCAAAGACCCGACGCTGTGAACAGTATGGTATATGAAGCTAGTGCTAGAATGCGAGACCCGGTTTACGGATGTGTAGGGGCCATCACATTCCTCCAAAACCAGGTGTCCCGATTGGAAATGCAGCTGGCGGCAGCGCAGGCGGAGATTTTGAGCTTTCAGATGCAACAACAGGCGGCTTCGGCGAGTTTTCCGATGACCCAGATGAACCAATATGATCAAAATCTTGTTTTTCTATCAAATGCTGATTCTTTTAATTCCGTTGATGGTTCGCCGGAAGTTGAAGATTATTGCTCCCTGTGGAGTTGAATCTTTTTTTTTTTTTTTTTCCTTCATGATTATTAATTTAAAAGAAAATGTATGATCAGAAAATGATTTATAAATATATTAAATACAAATATAGCCATTTTTATATTTATTATTATTATTTTAATAATCATCTCCTTCAACCTGCTGGTTGGAAAAAAGTTGGCCTGAAAAATAGTCAATGGTTGCATGTGAGATGTAGCGTGTAGAAGCCGACCTTATTGTTAATTCTCTTTGACCTATAATTTTTTTAATCACAATTTCTTCATCAATAATATATATATATACACGTGTATGTCGGCTAAGTAATTGAATTTATTTTTGAGACTTGTTAGATAAACACGATTCTCCACAATGGTATGATATTGTCCACTTTAAGTATATCCTCTCATGTTTTGCTTTAAGCTTCTTCAAAATGTCTCGTACCAATGGAGTTATTATTCCTTGCTTATATAACTCATGATCATTCACTGAATTAGCCGATATGGGACTTTTATAAAAAATAATTTTGAGAATTTTATGTAATATTAATTTCAAACAAAACCTAACTCGTATAGCTAACATTCAAATAAATAAAGACCGAACGGTATCGTATTGAAGAATAATGTTTAGGGAATGTGTAATTTTTTTATATCTTTTTAATTTTAAACAAAAATAAACATTAAAATCTTTATAAATTAAAATTTATAAGATATAAATTATCATTTTAAAGTTCGACGGTTCGGTGTCGAGATATCTATGCATGGAGTTATTCTTGGCGTTGCATAGCCTCGAACGTCGAGTGTCGTAGAAGGTTCGGTGTAAAAAGAAAATAGAAAGTATGAAAAATATGTTTATAAAGCTAATTTTTGGGGTAAAATGGGCGTCGGCTACTGAAGAAGAAGGGCATGTAATTATATGTCAGAAGCTTCGGTTGGCGTTCATTCAATCACCGACTAATAATTTTCAGCTTTTATTTAACCATCTTATTTTATTATTTTCCTTTTTTCTTGCTACCTCAATAAGCTACCAGCAAATCGAATCGTGCAACGCTCGGATTTGAAGTACTCAATCTAGTCGTGCTTGTTCAAAGCGTGTTCTTGTGATCGCATGACGGATGTCTCGAACATACATGTCTAAGACATGTTGTTCATGGCTACATGTCTGGCTCAAACCCCCTATTGTGTCAATGTGGGAGTGTACAACCGTTCACTAAAATCACATCTACACCTATCAATGCTAAAATTTCCTAAAATATAGTATAAGGGTTATGACTAGTACTCAATTTTTTCTATCTCCTGTTAAGGATATTTAGTACTAAATTAAAGTTTACCATATATATCGTATTTGATATTTTATTATAAGACAAATATCTATCATAGATATCTTTTTCATTTATTATAAACAGAGAACTTTCACCTACCATTTAAATGTGGTGGATTAAGCAAACATTCTCATTATAAAGTCATTGTTGTTATCTAATTGTTTTTTAGCTTATAATATTGTTTCCTTAAAATTATTTTCAACGTATTTCCTCGCTTACATTTTCTAAAACATTTCTCGCAAACGTGACTCGAGATTCGAGCATCGCTAACGTTGTCTTCGAAATCCGAATGTCTCATGGTTGACTTGTTCGCTTTGTTAGAACAAGTGTCATACAATAGTTGTCTTGGTACCACAAGAGTGCGATTGTGACACTTTGTACTAAGGCTTGAGAACATGTTTATCGATATTCTAGCCACACGATAAGACGTGATTTGACCTATATTAATTACCATTTGACTTTTAGATTAGTGTAAGCAATTGTAATTAAAATTACTTAAAAAAAAGTTTTTAAATCTTAATTTAATTATTAATAAAATTTAGAACTATTTTAACGGTAAAAAAAACTGGTTTTAATTGATTTTTTTTTAATTTACTAACACTTCATTAAAAAAAAAAAAATTAATAATACATAATTTAATTGATAATTTTATTTTCGTTATAGGTGTGAATTTATAATGATAAGCTCACGATTTGTGAGTCTATTCTTGTTCAAATTGGCTAAAGTCTCGTATTCACTGTTGATTTGAATCCATCCTTGAGAGTCGTGATTCGTGCTATTTCAATAGCTTTGTTTATGGGTGTCGTGCTTCACGATGTTGCCATGAAATTACCATTACAATTTCGGAGAGTTGATTCTTAACCAATTATCTCATTAAAAACGAGGTAAGATATTGAATTTGAATATGTTCGTAAGAAATTGGTAGACTAAAAAAAAATTAAAAAGTAATCAAATGTTTTTAGGCCAAAAGTAAAAGTAAATAGAAGTTTCTTTCACAATTATTAATATATATGTATATATAAGGGAAAAAAAAATCCATAAAATGATGGAAAGAAGATGAAATGACAAGAGTGACCTTGTATTTAAAATTTTTATTAGAAATTGAAAAATAATAAAGAAATCTTTTGTGGTCAAAAGTGCAAATTTTTTTTCCAGATTTATAAAATTGCATTTTTCGAAAAATATATTGACGACTTTTTAAAAAAATTGTGGACTGAGAAAAAGAAAATGACAGGAGGAATCTAATATTTCAACGGCGGCTGAGAGAAAAATAAATTCATCTATTTATTTATTGGATTAAATAAAATATAATAAATCTTCCCCACCCCAAAAGGGTAAATAAATAAATAAAAATTGAAAAGTATTAATGAAACATTTTAAAATTTAATATCGTAAATTTTAAATATTTTTAAAAGTAATTTTAAAAGAAAGTATTAAATATTTATTTAGTCTATTCCACCCCCAACCCAACTAAACCACTCTCTAAATGCTATAAAGTTTGCCCCCACCATGATGGGACTTTCAAGACATTCTCGGAGTGGCTGCTCATTTTGATTCCCTCCGACACTTCGCCGCCTTTAATCATTCCGACCACCGAAAAGAAATGGATCCGATCAGTTCCGCAACAACCAAACAGACCCATCTCGCGGCGGTGCCGTACCCCGGCAGAGGCCATGTCAACGCCCTCATGAACCTCTGCAAGCTCCTCTCTCTCAAAAACCCAAACATTCTCATCTCATTCATCGTCACCGAAGAATGGCTCACCTTCCTCGCCGGCGAATCCAAACCCCAAAACATCAGATTCGCTACCATCCCCAATGTCATCCCCTCCGAGCTCGGCCGCGCTAATGACTTCCCAGGTTTTATCCGATCTGTTAACTCCGATTTGGAGGCTCCGACTAACACTCTGCTCACCCGCCTCCACCCGCCGCCGACGGCCATCGTTGCGGATGCCTTCCTTCCCTGGGTGGTACAGTTGGGGAACAACCTCCGTATTCCGGTGGCTTCGCTCTGGCCCATGTCGGTAACGGTTTTCTCCATTCTTTACCATTTTGAGCTCCTTCAGGAACATGGGGATTTCCCTGCTGAACTCTCAGGTACTGTGAAATCAATTGGGTTTTTGGGAATCGGATTTTTGGATTAGGGTTTTAAATTTTCTTCTCTGTTTTGAAGAAAGGGGAGAACATATTGTCGATTACTTCCCCGGAGTGTCGAAGATTCGTCTTGCAGATTTGCCATCTTTCTTCTCCGGCAATGGCGTCAAAGTCGTCGGAGCCGCCGAGAAATCTGCCCGTTCTGTTGACAACTCTCAGTTCCTGATCTCCACCTCTGTTTACGAGCTTGAATCCTCTGTAATCGACGCTTTAAAAGCAAAGTTTCCCATCCCAATCTACACAATCGGGCCCAGTACACCGTATTTCGAGCTTGAAACTTCGGTCAAAGACAACGGCGGCGACCCCAAAAACTACCTCCGGTGGCTGGACTCTCAAGCAGAGGGATCTGTTTTGTACATTTCGCAAGGGAGTTTTCTTTCAGTTTCGAGCGCTCAAATGGAGGAGATCATCGCCGGCGTGAAAGACAGCGGCGTACGGTTCTTGTGGGTGGCGCGTGGAGACGACGGCTGGTTGAAAGATGTGGATGAGGAAACTGGGATGGTGGTTGAATGGTGCAATCAATTAAAGGTTCTATGCCACAATGCCATCGGAGGGTTCTGGACTCACGGTGGTTGGAATTCGACTCTGGAAGGGGTTTTCGCCGGCGTTCCAATGCTTGCTTGGCCGATATTTTGGGATCAGATTCCGAACAGTAAGAAAATCGTTGAGGATTGGAAAGTTGGGGTCAGATTTGAAGCGGTTGGGGGTCGGAATTTGGTGGGGAGAGAGGAAATTGCAGAGACTGTGAAGAGATTTATGAATCCAGAGAATGTTGAAGGAAGAGAGATGAGGAAAAGAGTGAGCGAACTCCGAGAGACTTGCCGGCGAGCGGTGGCGCGCGGTGGTTCTTCTGATTCCAACATTGATGCATTCCTCGGGGATATTTGTGGAGTAGCGAGGGAATTGTGATTTTTGGGCTGTTTGGTTTAGTAAGGTTAAATTACAAAATGGTCCTATAATTTGAATAAATTTACATTTGAACCATATTAGTTTTACTTGTCCAAGCATCATTTCACTCGTCTAGCTACTAAGATATTTCAATTTGATTGGTTCGAATCTACGTTTATTTTCAACTCTCCAAAGCATTTCGCTGTATACTACGTCCTTCTTCGTCTAAAATTCCCATAAAGTTTGATAAAACTCTCGTATTGTCATTTAAGTTAAAATTATGCAGACGGATTCTAATTAAATTTTAATTTTTTTGAAATTATAGGATTAAATTTGCAAAATAAAAAATTGGGTTCATATTTAAAATAAAAAATCCTGTTATTATATCATAAGTAATATATATATATATATATATATATAGTAAATAATAAAATAAAATAGGAGATAAAAAAAGAATTCATCAAAGAGTACGATCTTTTAAATAATAATAATAGCCAAAATTCTTATTCCGCCTATTCATAGTTCTATTTTTAGATTTTTTTTTTTTTTTTTTTTGCAATAAATAATAAACTTTTTTTTTTGTTTTTTGTTTTTTTGAAATATTGTGTGTCTGTGTCGTGACGCTTCAGGAACCAATAAATTCACAAAAATCAGACACTTATTTTTGGGTCTGGGTATTTTATTCATTAATTTATTATTTTATTAAGTAAGGCCTGGTGTGGGCCCGTCGGATCTCTGCCGTTAGATGCGTTGTGATCTTAAACACGAAGAAACACGTGATTGAACTTTATAAGAATTGGGCACCACTCCCCAACCAACGGCCGTGATTTAACGCTTGGAATAACATGATACGAAAATTGTGGGCCATGTTTCAGACACCACATGCCCCACATGGTCCTCCCAATTAATTTTAATTTTAACTTTTTAAATCTCAAGATTTTTATTTTTATTTTAGAATATTCACCCTTTTAATTTAACTTTCCATTTTTATAACAAATAACTGGAAAGTTTCCTCTTTTTTAGTTCAATAAATAAAATTTTTAATTTTTTTTAGTTGATGTATAAATTACCGATAATTCATATTATTGGAATAATATAAACTTTTTTAAATAGATAATTAAAATGTTTAATGTAACAATTATTATAATTTTTTTTTTGTAGCAATTTAAATATTTGATATTTTAGGTTTTTTTTTTCCTTCAAAATATTGGCTTAATATTACCTGATCCACTGAAAGAGTGCCACGTGGAGAAATTTGAGTCACTATGACACAGGCAAACACAATAAATTGCTAAAGGTCCCACGTGGCTACCGTCACCATCATGATAATCCGCCCAGCCGTCACATCAGATTGGAGGTGCACCATAGTCTTGCATGGACCTCATCCACACCTAACAACTACCCTGACATATTTAATGCTCTACCGCCCATAACAAAAACTACCCTCAAAGACTGGACAAACAACCTAATGCAATCTGCTCTTCCCTTTTACCCATTTTTCACGCTCCAAACTTCAAATCAAAGACCCGTCGATTCACGAATCTGCCCGATAACTGACTCTTTTCACGGTTACGATCCTCCCTGCCGGAGTTTCTTCGCCGATTTCTGCTTCTCCATGTAGTTGTAGTGGACGGACTGTGGTACGGCGGAGCAATGGCGACGGCATTGGAGTGCTGGTCGAGTAGGGCTAGTACTGATGAGGATGTGGTGGAGCAGGTGCTGATGAGGACTCAGGATAGATCGGAAGGCTCCAAGGCAGAGAGTTCTTTTGGTGTTGGAGTGAAGGAGTCGTCGGCAATGCAGAAACGGTTGCAGAGATTGAGTCGGAATGTGTCGGAGGCGGTGGCGTCGATTAAAAACTCGTTGAATCTGGACTCTGTTCGAGATCCTTCGCCTTCGAGAACCGAGGGGTCTAAGAAGGAGGTTTGGGGGAGTGTTGTACGGAATCTTACTCTGCTTTATCCTGGAAGTCAGTTGCCGGAAAAGCTCGTCTCCAGTATTCGCAAGCATTATGATTCGTTGCCCTTCAGGTTTGTACTCTGATTAGTAATGTGTTGTTTGTGTGTTGAAAGTTGTGTAAACTGGAGAGATGGATTGAAAAAGAATGAAATGTGTAATCGTGAACGATTGGAGCTAGTTACTTAGTGTTGTAATGAAAAATCCATCAGATATCTATTTAGTCACTGTTTGCTAATTATCTTATAGTAGAAGATTTCAACTAGGCTTGTTTCCCTTTTCTGATTGCTATATTTTCTTCTATTTGTTGTTTTGCTGGTATGAACAGTTATGCTCAGGCGGGGTTTGACATGAAAGATGTCTTTCTCCACATAAAATTGATAGAACAGGCATCTGTTTATGAGCACCCTGCTATTTTTTTTCAAGAAGTGACATATAATGACGTTCAGAAGCCTACAATGAAGCTCACATTTGCTTGCAACTCTTCAATTTCATGGTCGGCGATGTCTGGAGCGTTGGAGGGCTCTGACATTCGCTGCGAGAAGATACAGATCTTTGAGAAGAAAAAATTTACTCTTGGAGTCATTCTTTTTGCGAACCTAGATGCCCAAGAGGAACTCTTCAAATCCAAAGTTGAAAATGCTCTAAAATTGGCTATTAAGAAGCCAAAAACCAACACTGTGAAACTTCCATTTGGATTTTGTGGAGGCCAGGATGGTAACACTCGGGGGAAGGATCTGAGAGAAATCGAGGAGGATGCTATTGAACAGAATTGCAGAAGTGGTTTTGAGAGATTGAATTCGAATGAAAATTTACAGATAGAAATGCCCTTATCTACTTCATCTTTTGCTGTATCTGTCGATGAATGGCAAACGGTCCAATCTGGTGGGCATGAGCTGGGTAAATGGCTGCTGAGCTCTGAGAATCTCGAGTTCAGTGATCAGATTGGACCCAACTCGTTCAAGGGAGTCTACAAGGGCAAAAGAGTATGTATAGAGAAGATTAAAGGGTGTGAAAAGGGAGTTTCTTACAAGTTTGAGCTCCGTAAAGACTTGTTGGAGCTGATGACATATGGGCACAAGAACATTTTGATGTTCTATGGTGTTTGTATTGATGAAAATCATGGCTTGTGTGTGGTAACCAAATTAATGGAGGGTGGATCAGTCCATGAATTAATGTTGAAAAACAAAAGGCTTCAAACGAAAGAAATAACCAGGATTGCTATTGATGTTGCAGAAGGGATGAAATTCATGAATGACCATGGTATTGCTTATCGAGATCTTAACACACAGAGAATCTTGATAGACAAGAACGGCAATGCTTGTTTGGGTGACATGGGCATACTCATTGCATGCAAAAACTTGGGCGAGGCAATGGAGTACGAGACTGATGGGTATCGGTGGCTAGCTCCTGAGGTCTGTTCACTATAACTTTGATTACACTTGGTATTATCTAAAGCAAGTTTCACTTACAGTATGCATTGAAAGAACCCTATATATATCTATCTGCTTTAGCTGAAGAATGCAATATCTTCTCGCTTTTTTTGTGATGTAAGTTGTGTTTGGATTCATTGCATTAAACCGCATGGGATGAGCCCTTTTCAATTAAAGAGACTTTATGTCACTTCCTCTATGATGGTCTAGTGTGTATGGCATACAGTCATGATCGAAGATGCTTTACACTCATCAGGCTTGTGTTAATATTTGTCTAGGTGCTTTCATATTCATTAGACCATTAGGTTTAGATTTCACTGCATCCATCCGTTTGGCAGCAACATTGAATTGGTGCCACGTTCTTCTTGACTGTTTCATTTTGTGGATCCCGCCATCTTAAAGCTGCTTTAGAGTGAAATCTGCCCTTTCTTTCAGGGAATTTGAAATTCCTGTAGATCTCATCTTACTACCATCCTTTACTTGTCACAGCCTATTTATGTACTTCTCAATTTGATTGCTTAGGGTGTTATTAATTTGTGTTTGTTGGCTCTATCTGGTTTGGCAAAGATTATTGCTGGCGACCCGGAGAGCGTTAACGAGACATGGATGAGTAATGTATACAGCTTTGGAATGGTAATATGGGAGATGGTGACCGGCGAGGCAGCGTATGGTGCATATTCGCCAGTGCAGGCAGCAGTTGGTATAGCTGCTTGTGGTCTTAGACCTGATGTTCCAAAGGACTGTCCTACCACCCTGAAATCTCTGATGATCAGATGCTGGAACAATTGCCCATCAAAGCGCCCCCAGTTCTCAGAAATTTTATCAGTGCTGTTGGACTCCAACAATAACAAGCATAGATAAAGTAAGTATATTCCTGTTAATCTAAATGGATTCAAAATCTACTCTTATGAGGTTATTGTAAAGTGTTCCTTTTTCATGTAGAAGATATGCTCTGCGTTCAATGTAGATATGAGAAGTTTGTGTTTTGAAAATGTTAATCCAATTACTTCTCATAATGTATACAATGATTTTCAAAGGAAAAACAAAAGAAATACCAATCTTCTTTCGAGTCTGAACTCTAGGATTAGTTTAGATCTTAACTTTATGTTAGTTTATATTATAACTATTTCTAGAATTAGTTTAGATCTGAACTTTATGTTAGTTTATATTATAAGGTATCTTATGAGAGAACACATAATCTAGCCTTGATGCATGCATTTCTAATTTACTTTTTTCTGTACAATTACACGGACGTTTGTAAATTTGTTATCTGTGTTCCGCCCCCCTTGACATGTTCTACTGTTTGCAGTCTCTTTTGGAGAAATAAATTGAGGAGGAAGAACAGATGAGAGGAGAAAGTTAGGATTGATTTATTGGTTGGGTTAGTGGGAACATTTTGCCTTAGTGGACATGATATCTCCCGGGGTCAAATTATGACATACAAGGCCTTAGTGGGAACTTTTAGTTGCATTGAATTATACACTATGCCAAAACATAAATAGTAATTGTTTATAGCACAACATTTTGGAAACATTAAATGACTTGATGAACAAACTTACGAAAGAGAATAATCGTTTGGCTTCCTCTCTGATCTGTTCCAATTAGAGAAGAAAAAAAAAAAAAGTAAGAAGCTGGCCTGCTTGCTCTCCAAGAAAAGTATTATTTGGATTCGGTTTCCGCCTGAATATGAGTCATGAACTGAAATAATATTT